ACAGTCAGTGAGCAGAGGAATATCCTATACGAAATAAGAAAACGGAAGGCTAATTGGTTTGGTCATGTTTTACGCAGAAACTGCCTTCTAAAAGAAGTTATTGAAGGAAAGATAGAGGGACGGCTAGAAGTGACAAGAAGACGAATAAGACGTAAGAAGATGCTGGATGACCTTGGGGACAGAAGAGGATACTGTCATTTGAAAGAGAAAGCTCTAGATCGCATTAAGTGGAGGAATAAGAGACTGTGGACCTGTCGTCTGACAGATTACTGATGATGATGACGAGAGTAACTTCCTATAACTGTCCCTGAATTCAGGTTTTGAGTGCAGTTAGTAACCCCAACATAACTGTTGTAATCTAGCTAAGCTTCCTAACCTTTATTCATTTTGTTTTTTATTTGTTGTTACTAACACAAACATAAATTAATTTAAATTCCAGAAGTAATTGGTGTCTCTGTTGTAAAATTATAGTCACATTTATCCAGTGCAGTTTTGTTAATGATTGCCAGCCACAGAAATAATGGGTTAAAGTGCCGAAGGAGTGTGGCAGTATGCCTCCATGACACTGATTATACTGGTTTAGTTTTGTTGACACTGTCTATTTAAATATCACATACCTCTATGTAAAATCATAATTTTTTTTTGTGGCTGTATTTTCTTATTTGTGTGTGTATTACATGGTTTGAATAGGTGGCCCAAGAAGCTGCTAACATGATTGAGTTTCTTTGTTTTTCCTGTGTTTTGCTAGGGCCATTACCTTTGTTTTCATGTCCTTAATTCATGATTCATAGCCACTGTGTCATTTGATGCATGTAAGCTATGGCTCTAACACAGTATGATTAAGAATGAAAGCAAGAACATCTGCAAAAACAATTGTCTTCCGCTACTTTCCCTGTTCTTAATTTAGGTGTTACTTTTTATGTTCTCAGCTAACAATGGAACTTTCTATGACCCCTGATGTTTTGGGTGATGTGGATGGATTTGGAGGTCTTTTGGGTATTCCTCTTGGCCAGCCACATGCTCTGGAAACCTACGGTACTAAGTGCAGAAGGTAAGGTGTGAAAGTCATATGATTTCAAGCTTACACGGCGACTGTGTGCGGCCAAGACTTCTTGAACGAACAGCCATGTTAGAGTGTGGAGTTAGTATCGAGCATTTCAGACACACTCTCTCTGTCATCACTGGCAGGGTTCAGTGTGACGAGTGTTTCCTGCTCATACTGTATTTCTGCCACAACATATTTGCACTACTGGAGGAGCATTGGGTGAAATCATGCAGTGAGCATTCACAGTCCATGTTGCTTCATGTTGGTCTATTCTTATCATTCATTTTTATGGAAAGGAACAAAAAAAAAAGAACTCCGTGGCTTTAGTCCACAAGCAAACTATACCAACTGAGCAACCGCCGCTTGTCGGCGATGTCAGTGCCAACTTTATTCGATAGAGGCTCAGTGTCACCCATTTCATTCATCTGGTTATAGTTCTGTTCACCAGTGTTAAGTGAAATGCGAAAGATGTGAAGTTTCTCAGTTTGTAATAATTCTTTATTTGTCTCTTGATTCTTGTTTAGTCCAGATATTCTTCAGGGTGTAATGTGTTCTTCCAGGTTTCATTGTATTATAAAACCGCAGGTTTTATAATACAAGTTACTGCAGATTTTGTAGAACGTTGGCCTACTTTATGAGAAATTTATGTTCTTAGTACTTTACCTTTTGCCTCCATTTCTTCACTGTCAGCTTTCATAAACCATTCTCTGCAGCTTTCAATTAATATGCATGTTGTATGTAGTTCTACTGCTATTTGTGATTTTAGATGACATGACACAGCAGATCTGTCCTTGCTACCATTATTCTTCTCTCAGGATACCTCAGTTGGTACAGCAATGGGCCAGATGGTGTGGGTTCGATTCCTGGAAGTGCAAGATTTTACTTTTCTCCACAGTGTCCAGACTGGCTCTGGGGCCTATTCAGCTTCCTGTCCAGTAGGAACCTGGCCCTTCCCCTGGGGGTAAAGTGGCTGGGGCGGGAGAGTGACNGTAAAGTGGCTGGAGCGTGAAACTGACCACTCACCTACATCTAGTGTCAAGGCCAAGAATGTTGGAGCTATACCTCCATTCCCCAATATGCCTTCATGGCATAGTGCTTAATTAGTTAGGCACAGGGACAAGTTTACCTTTACTTTTATGCTTTTGTTTTATTGTGTGCTGTGCTTGTTTCAGATCACAGCCACTGTGTTAATAGGGCTGAACTGAATGGTCTTTTTGCCTTTTTAACCATCTTGTTCTGGGTCATCCCATAGGCCTTTTCTCTAAATGTTAATTCTAATGCTCTTCTCAGTACCCTTGTTTTGTCCATTCTTCACACGTTCTCAACCATTGTAATCATTTCTTCTCTAACTTTGTTAACAAATTTTGAATTCCATCTCTAACAATTTTGTTTATGATTGTGTCATTTTTCTTATTTGGTACTTCTGAATAATTTCATATCCATTCCCTTGATTTTGCTTTTATTTCTCCTTGAACGGGCTAAAGTTTCAGCACTGTATGTTAATTTTGGTTTAAAATATACTTTATAGATTGTTGTGATGCATTTTTTGAGTTCCTTCCTTTCCCTCAACAATATTCCTTTTATAATTTTATACAGTGTAAAACTTCTGATAGTCTGTGATATGTAGTACCTTGGATAATCATAAAACAAGCAATATCTTCAGCTGACAGACATCCTGAAAACTTCAGAATCATGGGGGACAGTATTGTATCTGACACTAAACATAAATTTTCTTAGTATGTGAAAAAAACATCGCTGAATCTTGGTGTGTTCTTATGACATGGTTCTCCATGGTTGTGTCACAGCAAGTTGACTCAAGTGGTAATGCTTCTGCCTTGTATCTTGGAAATGCCTAATTTGATTTTGGTCAGGGATGATGACTATTGTGAATGAAAGTTTTTTTATGGTTTTCTTTGGTCCTTCCAGGCACATGCTGGGATATTACCCTCAATTAGGCCATGACTACTTCCTTTCACACTCTTTCAAGTATAATGTGACGAGCTATCTTACGTCCATCGCCGCGCAATGGCTACAATGGAAATTGTGGAGATCCCACAATTTCCACTGTAGCCGTTGCACGGCGATGGACGTAAGATAGCTCGTCACAATATCAATTTCATTCCTGAGCTGAAAGAAGTGCAAAAGAACCTTTCCACAGCTAAGCCATCAAACTGCAGTATAATATGTGAGGTCAATAAGCTCTGAATCACATTTACCAGTACTCATTGGAAAATTAGATCAGTTGGCGCATTTCTGCACAATTCTTTTGCGGGCCGTAGTTTGGAGACCTTTGGTTTAAATCATTCAGAATAGTGAAATTATCAGAAAAATATTTACCTATACAGACTTTGCAATACTTTTAGTTTAAACACATTTTAATCAGCATGATTAGTTTCATGGGTATCCCTAACTCTATGAGAATATTGTATACTTCCCTCCTAACTGAATCATAGGCATTCTGAAAGCAAAGCTCTAATATACTGACCTGTAGGAAATATGTCTGCAAAGCATGCAACATGTGGAGATCAAGTTTAGAATTGATTTCTTGTATGTAAGCCCTGACTATAGATGACAATGATGTTATCAAAAAACTCAGTATCAGAGGGCTGAGACAAGAGCACATGAAAGCATGCTAGTTTCTGTTACTGACTTCAATTGCTTGTCACCGAGGTTACTTTCTCTAACTTACATGTAACCAGTTGGCACACACATTTTTCCAGTAATAACTGCTCTCAGATGACTTCCAACAGTTGGTATGGGCAGGGCATTACATGGCAAAAATGAAGCAATACTTTCCTAATGACTTACTGACATGTCTGAATCTTCATCTTCCTCGGTGGCCCTCTGCATAGCTGTTTTAGTCATCAACCTGTTTGTTGGCTAACACCTTCAAGGTATGTGAATTCTTCTGAGACCTCTCACAATACCATATACTCTTTGTTGGTGGTGAAGCATTCTAGCAGAATCCGGGGACTTACCCTACAGCTAAGGTCTGAACACAAGCTAACAGTAACTATTACCATTTACAGTGCTAAGGATGCAGTTAAAGAAAATTCTCAAAATTTTATTGGCAAGCAAAGTGACTTCTGGAAATCTGTAACTGATTCTTTGTCTTCTGAAATGTTTTAATTTATTCTGCCTTGAACATTGAAGTATATGGAATTAAAGGAATCAATTGAGCAGGCGTGTATTTAACTGGATTTTGTAAACTGCATTTGAGGAAACGAATAATGATTTAATTATAATTTCACCTTGTCAAAACTATGTAAGTTCCTAGGTTGTCACATTTATACTACTAGCAGCAACTCTGCTGCTGACTTACCTTGTCTGAAGTACACCAGCAGTTTGCAGTAAAGAAATTGTTAACAGATGGTCTAGATATGACCAGAGAATTGCAGAAGGTAGCTACATGCACCTTCAGCAACACAGGAAAACATTATGTGCTCAAAATACAGTATATGCCAAAAGATGCAGTACTGAAACTCACGCATCTTGAACACACATGTGCGTTTGTCGATGGGGCATAACTGCAGCCTCACGTGTTCCCAGTAGTGAAAAGGAAGTTGTGTTATGCAGCTGTTGTTGGAAATAGGTCTCTCGATGGAGGTATTCATAGTTGAGTATTATTTCCGCTCATACGGAAGTAGTCGCCAGACAGCTCACTTCCTTGGTTTTGAGCGGCCAGATGTTATCATCCATAAACCACTACATAGTACATGTGTGACAATATGGTGTGCTGTCTCAGCACACGGTATATTAAGCCCCTATTTCATTGAGGATGAGGAAGGCAATGCTCTTACCATCACCCAAGAATACTACAGGGACATGGTGATCGGACCATTTCTTCAGGATTTGAGAAGGTTCTGTCGTGCAGGAGGCCTTCACATGAATAGGCAGTGGTATCAACAGGACGTCTTTTCATTTCAGTACTCTATATTTTGTCACATACTGTACGTTCTGAAAGAGACATGTTTTGTCTTGTCACATTGTGTTACTATTTGACCTAGGCCAGATTTGGTAGTCTGGACAAAGAACTGGTGAACTACCTAACAAAAATACAGGAGCATGTGTTGTTATGTGGAAGCGGGAGCAGACTCCTTGCCCCGCCAACTATACTTACATGATTCTTTTTCCCTCGCATATGATGTTCAGGCCATTTTTAAGTTTTGCAAGATTTAGCAGGGCTTGTGCCATATCAGTGTATAACTAGATGCAGCATAAAGACATGGAAAGTTAAGGCTGAAGGTCGTAGAAATGCGACCATCAGATTTTCAACTTCCACGTTTAACAAAGCCAAAGTAGGTATACTAGGTCCTCATGACACCCACTGAATGGCAGTCAGCTGTAGTCATTGGCCTTATCTCTATATTCCCACAGCACATTGCTGGAGAATATTTTAATATTCAATGCCTTGTTTCCCCAAGGGACTCCACACAGTTTAAATCCTGCAGTATATAAGTATTATGTTTCTAGACTTCATCCATCGTCCTGCCTATTTTCTAAAAACCGTCCTGTTAATTTTTCAAAACACAACGTTTCGCAGACTGGATTCTGTCCCCATCCTCAGGTATAACCTATTCAGTTGGGTTCAAAGACAGGGCTAGTCCCTATCTCCGGACGATGGATAATATCCGAAAACATAAAACTTGTAGCAATGTACCACCATCATTGACTTATTTGTATTACCTGAGTGAATCACCATATAACAATTCTCCCTTTGAGTGTTTAATATACGGTCATTATATCTGACTATGCTGTGATTTGTTTGTAGTAACCAGTTCAGAAAAATAAATGCTGAAATTCATGGGAGGCCTTAAGCCCTAAAATAGGAGTGAAGAATAATGATTGGAATCATGTAGCTGTTGAACTGTGCAATGCACACATTAAGATCAAAGACTGAAGGGAACTGGTACATCATAGAGAAAAGCATCTGAGAAGAAAAGTTCTTATTTTGTCAAGAACACTTTTGTGGATATGTGATCTAATTCAGTTAGTTCCATTTCTAAGATTGGAAAAATATAATTCCCCGCAAGCGTTATGATTTATGTTAACTGCAGTTACGTACTTTCTCAAGGAGGTGAACCCTTCTGGAGGATCTGCCAATTCTGCAGCTACTAAAGAGTTTCCCAGAATTTTATGGAAGCCGAAGGTTCATTACCATGTTCACAAGATCCCTCCACCGGTCCCTATCCTGAGCCATACCAACCCAATCCATATCATCCCATCCCACCTCTCTAAGATCCATTTTAATATTGTCCACCCACCTATGCCTTGGTCTTCTCTGTGGTCTCTTTCCTTCTGGTTTCCCACCGA